TCGTCGAGGTTGCCTGGGGAAGGTCTGGCGTGGCGTTCCCCAGATGCGCCAAAAGGATTGGGGCGGCGCGCCAACAGTGCGCCACAAAGTAGTCTCTGAACTTTAGGGGCTGGCGCCCCGTGCCAGCAATGTGCTGGGGTCGCCTGCCCCCATCCGTTTTCCGTCGTTTAGCTCGTCTGAGTCCTTATAAAATGTACTAATACTTTCTATCGATTCTAACTACTCTAAATGACTTCTAAACATCTAGAAATCATCCATAAACATGAATCATAACCTTGAATCCATAAATTCAAATTCAAGGAAAGTTAAGAGCCAAGTCTAGAGAGTTCTTAGAGTTTTTTCAAAAGTCTTTTACAAATGTTTTAAACTTGTTTTAAGACTTGAGCGTTTAGTTGAGTAACAGTAAGAGTAATAGTAAGAGTGAAGTTCATTTTCTTAAAAGATTATATTGGAACTAAGTATTCCCAAAGAGTAAATGTTTTCACATCTAAACAAGAGAGGAACCACCGATTTCCAAGAGAGTTTTTGAGCTAGTTTTTGAGTAATAATCTCAAACCACAGAGAAAGAGTGGGAGTAGTATTGAGCACCGATATAGGGACGAGTTCATAATAACTCAAGTCTCCATAAACCATGTAGCCAACGTGGGTAGAAATGATCATACTTTTTAGATGATTCCTTAATGCTTTTAAGCATAGCTTAGTGGATCCACTTAGTTGAGGCGTTCTATATCCCGACAAGTTATAGGACAGTTCTGGCAGCGTGGGTGAGACACTGTATCATCACATAGCTCATAGTGATGGTTATCGGTTAGAGAATCTCCCAAATAGAGTTTATTTTTGTATTCTTATATACAACTGAGATATTATTGTATTTTCCAATACTTTGAGATGTTATCTACTATTTTAAATGTTTTATATGAACTGCATCTTTATTGTTGTTTATTTCTGCATTGAGTTGAGTGTCCATGAGTTGAGTAAAGCTGAGGTAAGAGTTTTTTTCAGATTCCAGTTCAAGCGCATGTGTTGTTTAGATTTCTCCTCACATGCTCGTACATTCAATGTACTGATGCCATTTGGCCTGCATCATTTTATGATGCAGATACAAGTAATCAGGATCAACATTCAGCGCTTCGTTGATCCAGTTGAGCATTTCAAAGTCTTTTGGTGAGCCTCCTTGCTTTTCAGAGGATATTTTTTTATTGCTTTGTTATTTCAGTTGTTAGGATGATCGGGGGTCTTGTCCCGACATCCCCTCATAGTATTAGAGGCTTCATAGATAGTTAGACATCAGTAGTTCATTAGTCTTATGCATTTTAGTTGTTTTGATTGTAAGACTTGAGTTTCCTTAATGGCCAGTTGAATGTTTCTTTACAATCTTCTAGTTATTTCATGAATTTATCTTGTTGAGTAAAGTCTTCCGCTGAGTAGTAAGCCAGGCCAATGTTTCGCTTGGGGCCAACAATGGTTTTCGAGTGCCAGTCCAACCCAGGGTGTAGGCTCGGGGTGTGACAATAATATACTCTATAACGAATCATCAGTATAACTATTGATTTGTCATCTTCTCGTATAACTCAAACAATTTTTGATTAATTGAAGAGTCTAAAGCTCTACCAAAAGAATATTTTCCTTCAAAATATAATTACTCTCTTTTGTATAGTGAATAAGCTGAAGACTTAAAATATTTTTTTGTCTTAATTATCTCTACACTAACCTCAAAATATAAATACAATATAATACTTTTCGTCCACATCTAATCTCTTTTCACTATTCAATACAAGGAAGAATACATCCTTTATGTAGGTGTATAATTTATTCCACACACGAATGTAGATAATCATTTGAGGAATAGTTGGGCTAATTAATAAAGATAACGAGAAGAACATGTCATTGTGGCTACATTAGTTACAATAAAACTTATATATATTTAATTATTTTCATTTATTTATTTGTAAAATATTCATTTCCCTCTCCACTTTATTTTTTAAATATTTTTTTGTCTTTTCATTTTAAATTATTTTGAAGAAATTATGTATATTTTATAATAACAAAATCTTTTTTGAAAAAACATTGTCATTTTATTTTTAACGTTTTTAAAAAATATTTTATATGATTTTCTTCACTTATTTTTACATCCATCTGAGATTAAATTATTTTAAGTAGAAGACATTTGGAAGTAAATTTAAAACCAAATCAAAAGGAAAGACAAAGAAAATAAAATGAATAAATAAAATCAATAATAATAAAGAAAAAGAGAGAGAAAAAACAATGAATGAAGTTTTAAAAAATTAAATATAAGGCAATTTTTTTTTTTTAGAAAATCCTTGTAGTAACTTAATTTAAATACAAGATAAAGAAAATAACAAGATTTTTTATATATAAAAAAACAATATATATCTATCATATATTTAATATTTACAACTAAAAATAAAGGGTAAAGAATGTTATATCTCTGATCCAATTAACTAGTCACATGCTGTAAATCGCATTCATCGTAAATCGCATGTGATGAATGCGATTTATGCGTTAAAATAAAGCATATCTATTGCAACGATATTTAGTGGCGGTTCAACTTATGGCCACCAAAGTATTATTTTCCTTTTTTTTTTTGACTTTTTATCCGGAGTCCAGTATCCATATTAGAGCCTACCTAAATTTGAATTTGCTTAGTAAATCTCATGTTGGTAGGTAAAGTTCTCCCAAAGTATTACTTTTTGCTATTGCATTATATGTTGTCTCTATATTCAGTTTCATTTCAATATTTTATTAATTTTATTAGAATATGAAAAATACTATTTTTATAATTGTTTATCTTCTTCACTAATTTGATTGCATAATTTTATTTATAAAAATATCGTTAAGTAATTATTAATGGAGATTCAAGTCCACTGTGACATAATTTACCTCAACATGACAGCCAAACTCCACTTTTGCTGTTGCCAGGTGGAATGATTCATTCAACCTCGGTATCGGCAACCAAGACACCCTTCTCTGTTGAATGAATCTTCAAATCATCATCTTCAAACCACGACTCCAATCACGGTTTCCAGTTGACTTTATCTCAGGCGACGGGGGCAGGAGAACACTTCACAAAATGCGCTATGACAACATTGTATAACTCACACAATTTCAGATTAGTTAAAGCTCCACCAAAAGAACTCTTTCCTTCGGCATATAGTTTCTCTTTTTGTATAGCAAACAAGTTGGAGACTTAGATTTATTTTCCTTGTTTCAACTATCTCTTTCGCTACACTAACCTCAAAAAGTAAATAAAATATAATACTTCTCATCCACTTCTAATCTCTTTTCACTTTTCAACCCAAGTAAAAAACATCCTTGATACAAATGTATAATTTTTGAGAATTAGTGGAGCAATTAATAGGAGATAACGAGGAGAACATATTATTGTTACATGAGTCACAATAGATCATGACACAACTTTCTACACTTTATGCCTACTAATTATCGAGCATTTAATATTTTAATTTCTAATATTAAAATGCATAATAATACCAACACAATTTTTTTTATTTTTTATATATATATATATGTATATATATAAATGTAAAAGTGGTGTATACAGGGGGGTGG